ATCTTAAAATTGCTTGGTGAGCAGTGATGAAACTAGGAAAAAATTGGTCCCAATGTAACGGAAATGTGCCTACCTTCCCGTCTGTCCCAAGTGAAAAACAAAGAAATTCCCTCCTTGATCCAAGAACAGGGAAAATTAGTATGGCCACAAAAAGCCTATGTTCTTGATTGGGATTTGGGCATGAGAATAGGAAGGTACACTCTAAGACAACTCATTGCCATGAATAACTTGGAGATTTCTCTAGATCCTGATGGAGTCCCCATGATTGAATCCTGATGGTTTTATAAGAAAAGGGAGGGAGACCAGAATATTCCCGCCTCCCCCCACACACCCTGTCTTTTGCCATTCAGTACCATGTGCTGTCTTAGAATTCCACCAGCAAAAAAACCATCAGAATTTTGAGCTAAATAAACCCTTTCCCTTTATAAAGTTATTCAACCTCTGGTATTTTGTTATAGTAACAAAAGACTAATGCACAAGGCGATTCCAAAACTAAACTTCTGCCTTCTTTTGGCTAAAACTCTGCTCTCAGTCTGGATGGTTGAGTGAGACAAACACATAGCTCTAAAACCTGTTATTACTAACTGAAGTTTCCCCAGAAGCCTTCCTGTACACACCCATGTGTCCACGCCTCTTATCTACCCTCTTTGTCCCCCCACCCCTTCAATTCTCATCACCTCCTCCCTCCTCTGCTCTGAGCACTTTGCCTCATTTTGGTGGAGGAGGAGGAGGGGGAGGAGGGCGTGGAGAAGAGAGAGGATGGTAGGAGCTTCCCTGAAACGTACTGTTCTTGGAGTTTTCCAAAACCATAGTATCCTATGGGGTAGCTCCCCTTCCATGTGCTCCTTTGGCTTCATTTAACCACTGTTGTCAATTATGAAACCATTCAATACGTAATTACTTTTACAATTCAAAGATTAATGACATCAGGATGACTCCCAAATGCCTGCTTTTGAAAACAGATGGCTAGAGGGGAAATTTTGATCCAGGGTACCTCTTCCTCCAAACAGAAAGTACTTGGGAAATGCCTCCTGGATCTCTGACCTTTTTATAGGTTCCCTCATATCTAATTCCTCTTCTGATTAATGCATTCTTCCTTGGTCTGCAATTTTACCAAAGATTAACCTATTGACATCTTTGTTCTTCCTGCTTCTGGCATGGGTAAGATTCTGGCTCTAAAGTGCTTTTGATATATACAACAGATTGCATCTTTTCTCAGAACCCACAGTCTCCCTGGGTGATACCACCTCCTCAAGACTAACTGGGCACAGGCCCCCTTCTGGAAAGCATTTATGTCTCTTTGGCACCTTCTTTCCACTTCAGCTGCACTGACTTGATAGATCCTGAACGACAAAGCAAGCTCATTTTAGCTTTATGGACTTCACAATCGCTGTTCCCTCTGCCTTGATCACTCTGCTTAAGGGTGTTTGCATGAAGAAACCATCATTGAGTTCAAATCTTTCCTTTCCAAAGAGGCTATCTCTGAATACTCTAAAAGGCACACTTTGTCCCAGGATTTCTGAACTTCCAGACCTTTCCACAGCATTTATCACTATTTGACATTATCTCATTTGTTTAGCATATGGTCTGTCTCTCCACCCACACTGAAATGGGAGTCCCACGAGGAACAAGTCTGGTTTATTTTATCCAGCACTGTATCTCCTGAGCTGTACAAATCCACTGTGTGGCAATACGTTCTATTCATTATCTGTGACAGAAGAATAAATCATCCAAAATTTAAAAGCATAAGACAACAAATAATTAGTACCTCGCACCTTTTGTAGGTCAGGAATTCAGAAGCAGCTTAGCTGGTGATTCTAGCTGAGGATCTCTCATGAGGCAACAGTTAGGATATCAGCAGCTGCTGCAGTCAACTGAAGGCTTGATTGGAGCCAGAAGATGGCCTTCTAAAAGGGCACACTTATAGGGCTTTAGCAATCCTCTGGCTATTGGCAGGAGGGCTCAGTTCCTCATCACAGGAGCCTTTTCCAAAGGGATATTTGGGTATCCTCAGGACAGCACAGGGCTACCCTCAGAGTGAATAATTTAGAGAGAACAAGCCAATCTCTTCTAAAACTTAACCTAGGAAGTCACATTATGACATTTCTACAACAGTCTATTGGTTAATGTATCAGCTCTATTCATTGTGGAGGGGGGATTATAAGTGGGCATAAATATGATCTTCAAGGCTGGCTACCACACACATATAATGGTTGCTCTATAAACATCTCTTTAACTAATGAACTGTGTCAATTTTATAATTCAACTCTTAGAAAGCCATCTCATATCCAAATGGGAAAAAATCTCTCACCCTCCCAACCCTACCCCCACAAATCTTTTAATGTGTGTCCTGTTTCATTTTTCAAACAGAATGTGAAAAAGAGCAATCCAGGCATGATAAATTGTGGCTATGTTTTGTACTTACTTTATTTACTCATAGAACACTATTTAAAAATTAGCAGCCCTTCAGGAAACCAGAGCATTGTGGTTGTTAAACCAATATCAGGTAACTCTCCTAGTTAAAATATGTAATTCCTTCCATCCATACAGTACTTCCTATTTTGCAAAGCATCTTCCCATATGGTCTCATTTGAGCTCTGAAAAGAAAGCAAGGTAGATTTTATTCCAACCTTATAGATGGGGACACCTGGCCTGATTACAATTTTAAAAAGAAGCAGAACCAGAAGTACAATTTTGGTATTCTGATTCCTAGTATCAGAAAAGACTTCAAGAAGGAACTCTGCATAATAAGTTGGGTTATGCTGCAGAAAAGAAAACCCAAATATCTCCAAGGCTTAAAGCAACATAGATGTGTTTCTGATCATATTAGTTCAAGGCAGACTGGTTGACCTTCCAAGGCTATCTCCCTCCATGCAGCAATTTAGTGCCCTTCTTCTTATTATAGCTGACCCATGGTTTCTGTGGTTGAACACAAGGAACAGAGTATTGCAATGAAAATCAAATGTTTTGACCTATAAATGACAAACATTCATTCCACTGCCTGCTCATGAGCAAGAACTTGTCTCATGACCCTGGCTGATTGCAAGTAGACAGAGAACTGAAGTTTCCTATTGCCCAGGCCATGCCTGAGTCCTAAGACACTTTTTTACATGTAAGATAGTGAAAAAATAAATAGGATTTGTAGAAGTAGGAAAAGGCCCCTCAAAGACACTTGTGAAAACAGTGTAAAGAAATACACACAGAACATTTGATCTTTTTGAAAGCCTCATACTGGGTTGTTTCACATACATTTTTCTTAGTTGATACTGATGACAGTCCTGTAAAGTAGACATAATCACCCTTTTTATGATTTTGGAAACTGAAGGTCAGAAGGCTACTTAATTTGCTCTAGAGCTCACACTAAAAAGCAGAGGGAAGTCTGACTCCCTTGCTCTTCATTTTCTCTATGTCCCAATTTCATATAATGATCTCTTCTACATCCCTTAAGGGATTTATTTTTATAAGGGAAGTTACTGGAGACAAATATACAGGGGCTGGCAATTCTACTGGCAATGTTTTATTTCTCAAACTGGGTGATGAACATACAATTTGTGTAACTCATTGTATTTTTTATAACAAATATTTCAAAATACATTTTTTTAAAAAGGGGGGCAATTGAGTCTGAGAAATAATCACAGATTGTTGTCTTGAAAAGATATGAATTTCTAATGAATATGGGCAGTCAAAACCCAGGAAATACAATATTGCTAATATTTATTGAGCACATGGGATTTCCTAGATAATTTGAAATCATTTATTGACATATATTTACTTATTTCATACAACAACCTTAATATTATCCTAGGATAACCTATTAAATCCTGCGTTTTCAATTCCACAAAGATTTCAATGAAATTGACACAGGGACATTGAAATAGGCTGGAGATCATAATCTAGCTCTTATAAATATTATATTAATATTATCATAATTATATTCTTATTTTATAGGTATATTACATATTGAGAATTATGTTGTACATATATATTATATAAGCTTTTATATGCATTCCATATTTGGGACAAAATGGGTTAATATGAGATGAGAAAATTGAAGCAAATGCAAATTGTTACGTAATCTAAAATCAGTTTATAAAGGGAAAAAGAAACTGAATTTGAGCAAGCATTCTAGTTTCAGGGTATGGACACATGACCACTACCCTGTAATACCTCCCTAAGAGGTGGAAGAAGGATGAGCCAAATTTACAGTGATGGTTGAAAATCTTCTGCGTACCTCTTGCAACGTTCCAGTCACATTCCGTAGACGTTTGCGTCCAGTTAAACAGGGAGTTCAAAATAGCTTTCCCATGACTTGACAGAGAACAGGCTAGTGTAGTTGGCAGCAATTTCAAAGAAAAGTTCCATGCTTGGGTTGACTCCCTTAGACTTCATCAAGGGGAAAGGTCATGTGATTAATAGAGTGCTCTACCTATCCGGAATACTACCTGGGCAAGGAAGGTGGAGTTGGGGAGGGATCAAATAATTTCCGAAGGCCAAGTGAACTAACCCAGTTGGGAGTTGGAACCCCCCCCCCCAAGCAGGACTTTGATAGAAGGCTGTAAAAATATAGTTTGGGATATGTTGCTTTCAGTGCTGCTAAACAAATCAGTTACTCCGGGACTGATCTTCTCATCACCTTGATTCTTATTGTAATTTACACCACCACCACCACAACCATCGCGCGCGCGCGCGCGCGCGCACACACACACACACACACACACACACACACACACACACCCCAGTTCCGAAATATGGTGTAAGGAATTTCCAGAAGGGACAACCAAGCAGGAGGAAAGCGAAACCTGAGCGCTGCGGATTGACAGCTGGAGTTGCCCCGCGCCTGCGCAGCAGCTCGCGCCGTGGAGGACTGGCGCCAGGGGGCGCGCTCGCGATACTCTGCCGCTCTGTCTACCCGCGCGCTCCACGACTCTCTTAGCTCTCAGCCGGCGGAGAAGGCGGAAGAAAGCGGCGTCAGAGACTGGGGCTGGGCCTCCCGGCGGCCCGCGGACGCGGCGGCCTTCGGCCCTGCAGATTGGCCTGCGGGCCGTCTCGCCTCGGAGCGCTGCATCTGTCCTCTCTCAGCACCTCGGCAGAGCGGAGTTGGGCGGCGGGGCTGGAGCCCTGCCCGCCCTGTTCGACGGCCCAGAGCGCTCGAGCGGTGAGTCTGTTTCCGATGTCCGCTCCTGACGGTCGGGGCCTCACTTCCCGCAGATCGGGGAGACGCCCCCGGCCCCTTGCTCCTCACGGCTCGGGGACGCATCTCTCAAACCCCCCACACCCCTAGTTCCTCACGGATCGGGGACGCCTAACCCCAGTCCCCTGTCCCCTGGCTCCTCACGGGCAGGGGGCCCTCTCCCCCAGCTCCCCATCCCCTTGGGAGACTCTTCCCCCAATCTCCCGTCCCCTTCTGGGAACCCTCTCCCGGGCCGCCAGTCTCCTGTCCCTCATTCCCCATGGGTCCGGGACGCCTCGGGTCCCCGCGCCTCCCCACCTCCTCGCCCTCGCTCCACTCCCAGGAGGGAGCCCCAAGCCAACTTCCTCTGCCCTGCTTCCCCTCACCTCGCGTTTTTCCCTTCCCAGAAAAGGAAATTGCCTCTTGGATTTTCCCGTCCTTCAGAGCTGTTACCAGCTTAAATTATTAGGTTTTTTTGTTTGTTTTTGTTTTTTTTTTTAATTCCCGGCGACTCCCTGTGTCACCATCATGGGAAATCTAGTCTTGGATTCCCTGTTAAACTCTGTAAAGGTCCCAGGAAGCAAGTTTAAAAAAAAAAAAAAAAAGATTCAGATGACACGAATATTTCCTCCCCGCCCCTGCACTCCTTAGTTGTACGATTGTTCCAGGCTCTGGGTTGATAAAGCTGTTCCTAGTATTTGGCTTTAGGGGAACTCCAGAGAGAGTTAGGACTATCTTGAATGTGAACAGAAAGCACCTAAAGTACTAGCAGCTTGAATGTATAGTGTTTGTGTCTCCGAGAGCAGATTACTGACTGTCTTGCTACACAGATCTAAAAAAAAAAAAAAAACCTTATAAAGAAATTCTGGTGGCCTTGTGAACTTGACTGCTGGCATTTTATCCATTCTCCTTTGATACCAGAGAAGATAGGGGGCTTTTCTGACTTTGAGGTTAGAAAAATTAGAATCTCAAATGGGTTAAGGACATTGTGGCCTGTGACTCAAGGAAAGAATGTGTTTCAGGCATTGGTTGCCCATGTGATGATTACAAGGATCGGACTTTCAACCTCAGTGGACTGTGTTCATGACTATATTTCAGCAGAGTAACATGGATACTTGGTAAATTTCTGGCAACTTGGACTGTGAATGAAATTGTCCAAATCCTTGCCTCTTGGAAAATAGTGTCCAAGAGGAGAAATGCAAGTTGAATTGGGATTAAAAATTTAAGAGCAATTGTTTTTGTATCATATTTTGATCATTGCAGCACATTTCAACTCTGTATTTTAGAAATAAATTTTAAGGAGTTGGTAAATATTTCCTGTGTCTAAAGTTAGGAACAAACTGAAGGTAATTTGTTAGTATTTTCTTTTACGTGGTTTTTACTTTATGAGTACATAGCCATGTATGAATTCATTTGACTTGTAATTGACTCATTCAGGACATAACTTGTTGATTTATTTAGGTTCACACATTTCTCCCAATAGCATCTGTTCATCTCAGAGGAACAGGTTTTGGTGGATCACCCCTGTCCCTTTACACCAAAACATTTAATAGTATTCTTTTTAGATTGTATATGCCCAAATACTAATAGGTGAATTTAAACCATGATTTGTAAAAAGGGTAATTTCAATATGTATTCATATTGCAGTTGAAATAAGTTGGCAAAGGTTAACATTCCACAGCATTTAATTAAGCAGTACTTAACCAAACTAGATTCCCAACTGCAAAAAGAGAATGGCAGTCATGAAGCTCTTATCATACAAGTTAAGGAACATTTGAAACTTTGTTTCATCCTCCTCTAATCATTTACATAAAAACCACATAAATAAGTAGAAAAGGAGCTGTAAAATACTTATTTTACAAAGGCATGTTAATTCATGCTTATGTTAGCGTATCTCAAGCCTGTTTTCATAATAGCTCAAGAAGTGGATCCTTGTGGTACAGAATGAGATTTAAAAGAATCTTGATGGAGTGTGATATTTTCTGTATATATGCCATATTCATTTCTACTGCAGACTCAAGTCACTTTTAGTTCTCATAGTTTTAATTAAAAATAGCTATTCATTGTTGTTAAATTAGAAAAGTGGTTTTCATTTAGGTCATTGCAAAATGTAAAAACTAAAGGAAAAAATATTTTAACTTGCCAAAGAGGAAATAAACATAAAAATATCAAAAGGCACTGAAAATACCATTTTTAGCTTAATTTTTACTTTGCAGTGTAGTTACATGAGACTATAAACCGTAGATTAAGCTGGCAACTATCGGCAAAAGCTTATTTGTAAGATATAAAGCTTTTAAATCTGCTGCTTATTAAAGCATGGAACATAATGTGAAAGTAGTTGGGTGTCATCCATAGTTTTTAAGAATGTGCACTTTAATGTCTGCATTTCCACAGTGGCATTCCTTTTAAGGAATTGTGACTGATTAGACAGATTTGCATTAGCTATAAAAGGAATGCATTAGCTATAAAATATAAAAGGTCTCTTCAAATCTAATGATCTTTGAGTCTTTTAAATTGGATAAGAAGAAGGTAGTATATAGACTTATCAATCAACTGAATTTTACTGGTATACAAATGCTGATTCACAATGAGGGGGCTAGGGAAGAACAGAGTTACTTTAGGTAGAGGGGAGTGAAGGGAGGGGAGGGGTTATGGGGGTAGAAAAGATAGTAGAATGAATCAGCTATTATTACTCTATGTGCATATATAAAACTAAATGACTGGTGGGATTCTACATGATGTATAACCAGTAGAATGAGAAATTATACTCCATTATATATGATGTATCAAGGTGCCTTCTACTGTCAAGTATAATTAATTAAAACAAATTTAAAAATAAACTGAATTTTAAATTGGACATTGAGAAGAAAGAAAGACTAAATTCAGTCTTGTTTACTGTTGTTCTGGCTAGCACTTTGCTATGTGCTCTATGGCTAAACAACAAATATTTAATTTCTAAAAGGTGATTTTACTAAAAAGATAGTTAGATATAAAAGATAAATATATCTGGTATTGTCAAAGATATAGAAAATGGGCTCTCATATATACTTTGTAAGAGTGAAAAATTAGAGTCTTCAATATCTTTCAGATAACCAACATTACCTATCAGAAAACCTCAAAAGTTAAATACCGTTTGACCCAATTTCTAGGAAATTTACCTAAGAAAGTAATTAGACACAATAGATATATGAGAAGGGAAATAACAAAGAATATACTCCTAGAGTGGCATAACTGTCATTTGTCCTCAAATCCGAATGGGCACAAAGGCGGCCTTAGACTCCATCTTAGGACTCATACATGATTAGTTCTGCCTTTTGCCAGCATCTTGCAGTCCTACCTTTCTTTCACTCTGTGAGCCTTCCCTAGGAGTACACATTAGAAATAATAAGGCTTTGAGAACTATTTTTAATTTTTCAAAAAATATTTCAAAAGTAAGTAAAACAAAATGCTAAGTTTGTTCGATAGTTCTTTGAAACTATCAACTCAGTGTAATAATGCTGGAGAGCTTGTGTGTGATAGTTATGGTCAATACCTCAGTTCAGTGTAATTAAAGAAAAGGGCAATAAATCTTAAATGCTATTTCATTGACAGATTTGTCAAAACGCAGATAAACATGGTGTAGTGCAAAGTGCACAGTTTCCAGGGTCAGGTAAGCTTGGGGTATGATCCAACTCTGTTACTTGCTAATTTGGTAATGTTGGGCAAATTACTTAACCTCTTAAAGCTTCATAGTTTCTGCCTTGATAAGTGGAGGCAATAAAATACTTCATAAAACTGTATGAAATAATAACACATGCATTTCTAGGCACAGTTCTAAGTGGTTTACACATAACACATTTAATCTTAGCAATAACTTTCAGGTGGTTCCTATTGTTAATTCTATTTTACAAATGAGGAAATTGAAGCATGGAAAAGTTATATAACTTGCCCAAGTTGTACACCAAGTGATTGGAAGAAAAGAGTTCCTCTTCCGCCAGAATTGTGCCTTGTCCTTTGTAGGTTCTCATCATATGGTACTTGAAATCTTAGAGGCAAATAAGGTGTTGGTACTGGTAAAAAGATTGAGGACTAGTGTCATAACTCTCTGTGTAGCAAAATGACAGGCACAATTTTTGTATAAAAATGAGATATTTGTGGGGATATTTGTCTGCTATGTTGACTAGAGCTTGCATTCTGCTTCTAGAGCTTATCTGGCATATATTACCCTCAAGGGTAACTACCTAAAATAGACCTGGTTACATGAGCTGTGAATTACTTTTAGACATTAGCTTCTTATGTAAGTACCATAGCAGTTTAAAACTTGAAAGCTGCTCATGAAAGTGGTAAGTTTTCCATTGGCAAAGAAACCTCACTTGTTTTTCCAGTCATAATAATGAAGCATAGTCACTTGATCTAACTGAAGGTAAGAGGACATAAAGACATACTTTTAAAAAAAATTCCATTCTTCACTTGAGCATTTGGAAATAGAATTTTAAAATTTCATAGAATTTTGGATTTAGAAGAAGAAATCCAGATCCAAACATTTAAATAAGTTTAAACGTGCCCTAAATTACACATCCAGTAGTGGTGTGTGATCAGTTGATCTTTGTATACTGCTGTTCAATCACTGTCCTGCTAACCACACTATTCTCTTCAATTTAGGATATTTGAAGGAACTTCAACATGATTAAGGCCTTCAACAGATGCTTAATGAACACCTATTAATATGAATTGGCTTGTGCTAATGAAACTTAAACGTCTTAGTCACAGAAAATAGACATGTGCTGATAATATGATATAGGGGTATTACAATTGAAGTGATTTTCTTTTTTTAACCTGATATTTTCATTCAGCTATGTTGTGAACTCCTTAAAGGACCCAGGCTTTGTGTACTACAAGTCCTTTACACAGATGATGATATATATTTTTTGAAGGAGAGAATCCGATAACTTAGAAATAGTAGTCATGAAGCAAAGCTCAAAGCACCTTAGGAATTATTTTGTAAATAACATTAACATAGCTGATGTATATGAACTTGCATAGAGAAGCTATGAGATGTGTGTGTATGCATGTTAAGGCATTTTTTTCCTTGCTATTTTTGCAGGACAATTAATAAGTTACTATGAGTCTGTTAAATTGTGAAAACAGCTGTGGATCCAGCCAGTCTGAAAGTAACTGTTGTGCTGCCATGGCCAACTCCTGTAGCACTGCAATCAAAGATGACAGTGTGAGTGGAAGTGCCAGCACAGGAAATCTCTCCAGCTCCTTTATGGAAGAGATCCAGGGATATGACGTAGAGTTTGACCCACCTCTGGAAAGCAAGTATGAATGCCCTATCTGCCTGATGGCCTTACGGGAAGCAGTGCAAACACCATGTGGCCATAGGTTCTGCAAAGCCTGCATCATCAAATCCATAAGGTATGTGAACATAAGAAAGAATGGTACCCTATATCAGAACCAAATGCAAAGAACAGTATTACATAGAACACAGGCCATCCCAAGAATCTTCTTACACATAAAAAGCTACTTAGGAAAAAAAAAAGCAATGAACAGAAAATTGAGAGATTCGTATCCCACCTCTTACAGTGATGCAAAAAGTTAATTTCTGTTTCTTCCATTCACCTGACTTTCAGATAAATAAGAAAGTAAATAGCTTAAAACTATTCTAAGGTAGACTAGGGGATGACTGGATGCTTTTAAGATGTACTGTAAATTATGCTTAAGTATGATAATCTAAACCATATAAAGAATGCTGATTCTGTAAGTGATTGGTTATTCTGGTTTTAGCCATGTTAAATTTTGTTTACCTGATTTCTCTCAGCAACTGTGAAGTAGCCAGTATTTTTTTTTTTAAGAGAGAATTTTTTAATATTTATTTTTTAGTTTTCGGTGGACACAACATCTTTATTTTATTTTTTTATATGGTGCTGAGGATTGAACCCAGCGCCCCATGTATGCCAGGCGAGCGCACTACTGCTTGAGCCACATCCCCAGCCCATTACCAGTATTTTTAAAGCAAGTATTAACTGAAGGCTATGCCTTCATAATATGTCCATAATCTAATCCCTTCTTACTGCCTCTCTGACACTACCTTTCTGAATCACCATCAGCTTTAACAGGTCTTCCTGCTTCTACTCTTGTCTTTTCCCTGTCTCATTATAGCACCCATAATGAACCTGGTAAAATAAGTTAGATGATGTCACCTCTGCTCAGAACATTGCGGCAGATACAAGGGTAAAAGCCAAAGTCCTTAGAAGAACATGTATGATAGGCCCATGATTCATTTTCTTTCTCCTCTTTACTTTGCTCACTTTGCTTCCATTTATTCCTCCTTTGCCGTTCATTGAACATGTCAAGCATGCTCCTTCCTTAGTGAGTTGCTTTAGCTGTTCTCTTTGCTTAGAACTTTCTTGCTATGGTTAACTCTTTAACTCTGTCCATTTGCCTGAAATACCATTCTCTCATAGGTTTGCTGGACACACTGTTTATACCACATCATGCCTCTACCTACTTATCTCCAACAATCCTGGTCTTCCTTCTTGGCCATACTTCTCATTTTTTTTTACCTAAGCACTTTTACCTTCTAAGACACCAGATAATTTAAGCATTTGTTATCTGCTTGCCTAATTGAAGGTAACCTCCTTGAGAGTAAAAGTTGACAGGTAAATGAGAATATCTTTAGGTGACTAAGGATTTTAATGCAGGACAAAAAAGGTGGAAGAGGAGATTTGTGTTCTTCAATAGATAGCCATCTAGTTATATTGGTGAAATCATTCCTAAGTAGATTAGTCCATCTCTGGCTATTAGACTCATAAATTTTTATTTCTCAAGTTCTATACCAGCTTTTCTATAAAATTTGAAATTAAGGTAACTATATCCATTCTCGGTACTTAGCTTAATTTAAGTTACATGGGAGTGTGTCTCTTTTCTCAATTTTGAAGGGCGGTGTGTTGTCCAGTGTTGAATTTATAAAATCTATTTAGAGTAGGTTTTCTCAGTCTTGACACTGTTGACATTTTGGGCCAGACAATTTTTGCTGTGGAAGAAGGTCCTGTTTGATGTGGGATATTTAGCTGAATGCCTGATCTGTATCCACTGAATACTAGTGTCCCCTCTTATCCAGCTGTGAGATGCACTGTCTCTTATGGGCAAAATAGCCCCTGGTTGAGACCACTGGCTTAGGGTATATAGGATAACAGCTTTAAAAAGGCCCCACCAGGGGCTGGGGCTGGGGCTGGGGCTGGGGCTGGGGCTCAGCGGCGCATTTTCCTGGCATGTGTGAGGCACTGGGTTCAATTCTCAGTACCACATACAAATAAATAAGTAAGTAAGTAAATAAATAAATAAAAATAAAGATCTTTCAACCATTAAAAAAAAACTCAACCATTATTCTGTTTATTAAGATTTTTAAATTTATACTGTATTTAGATAAAAATGTTACCATATTTTGAATTGTTGATTTTCCTGTAGGTAGAAATGTGCAGTATTTTATCAGGTGCAACCCATGCCCAAGAAGGTAGCTAATCTTTAGCAGATTTTTAATAGCAGAATATTTATGAAATTAGTGAGACAGTGGTCTAAAAGAAGGTAAAACCTTCTCCTCCCCTATTTCCCTCTAAGCTAGAAGTGGCCACTTGGCCCCAATATTCTTAAAGGAACTGCTCTGAAATTCCTCATGGGGTATAGTGATTGAAGGAATCATAATGCATTTCAGTCTAATTTCATTTTCTTTTGGAATCCTTGCTAATATAGTGGATAAAGGTTTTCAATTTATTTTGTAAGGTTCATCTTAATTTTTTATTAGATAAGTTGCTTTAGGTTTGACGCATGTGTTTCAGTAAATATATTCGTGGTCTCTTATGCTCTCAGAGTATATTCAATGGTACAATAATAACATTGTAAAATCCAAGAGAGGCTCCAAAAATTCAGCTCTTTCACCTTTATTCAAAGTCTCTTGACAACAGAACTTTTTTCCTAGCACAGCAGCTAGCACTGTTGAGCATATAAGAGGAATTCACCAAATGTTTGAGTGATTGATAAGGCTTCTGTGGACTACTTGACCCATCACATTTTGTGACTGAGTATTGAGATATTCCAAAAAGTTAAAGGGGAATGACACTTAAGCTGGAAACAAAACAAAAACATTGGGAATCAGGATATAGAGGTTCTTTAACTCTACTGCACTGCACCATGTATGTACAAATAAAGGAAATCTTTTGTTCCCTTCAGCTCAAATGTCATAGTGACTGATTTGGATTAAACCTTAAAGTGAGGCTTCATGAGGATATTGCTAATTGGTTATATTTTTGCTTATGACTTGAGCAGTATACTGAAGACATGTTTTAAGTATTGTGAGCAGCAAATTCCATTTTACAAGTATACTCTATAGGTGCTGACAGAACAGAGGCCAGCCAAACTGTCAAAATTTGCATTCTTAACTTGACTTATTTTATGCCAATAAAATATTTTTATTCAATTAATTATTCTGATTATTTAGCTGGAATTTGTCCCACAGTCTACCTGTACTTTGGAAGCTAGTTTGGCTTTTGATTACCTATCAATAGCTAGTTTGTCAATGGTAGAGTGCTTGCTTAGGATGTACAAGGCCCTGGATTTGATCTCTAGTACTGCAAAATAATAATACTTATTTTATAAAATAATAGTTAATAAGCTGTCCATAAGAGAACTTTTCAAATCCAGGCATGGGAGTTTATGCCTGTGATCCCAGCTGCGTGGAAGCCTGAGACAGAAAAATCAGAAGTTCAAGGTCAGCCTGGGCAATTTAGTGAGACCCTCTCTCTAGGTAAAGGAGTCTGAGGATATAGCTCAGTGGTAGAGTGCTTGCCTAACATTCATGAAGCCCTAGGTTCAATCCCCCAGTACAGCCAAAAGTGAATTAAAAGAATTAAAGTTAGTTTTTCTAATGTGAATGTTTAAATCTACTAGTTGTATGTATCTTGTTTCTTTTAGGGATGCAGGTCACAAATGTCCAGTTGACAATGAAATACTGCTGGAAAATCAACTCTTTCCTGACAATTTTGCAAAACGAGAGATTCTTTCTCTTACGGTAAAGTGTCCAAATGAAGGTTGTTTGCACAAAATGGAACTGAGGCATCTCGAGGTATTAAACTTATTTTCTAGCTGTTAGCATGTATGGAAGTCAGTTTCTAGAGTAGGAACTTTGTTGTGTTTATCTGTATTGCCAGTACCTACCATATAATAATTGGTTAAATTCTTGCCAAGTTCTTACTAATCCTTAAGCAGAAGCCAGAAATTTTTTATTCTGTCTACTCTGGCTTTGCCCTGTAATTAAAAAAAAAAAAAACTGCATGTTTTTTGGTTAAATTTTGCACCAAATGAAATGCTTCTATAGTTTCAGATTAACTGAAGCAATCAGATAATAAAAGAATTTACATTTAAATACAAATAAATCAATTATTTTTAAATTAGTTCAATTTAGTTACACATAATATTTTTTTTTAATATTTATTGTTTATTTATAGGTGGACTCAATATCATTTTATTTTTATGTGGTGCTGAGGAACGAACCTGGTTCCTTCCGCATGGTAGGCGAGCGCTCTACCTCTGAGCCACAACCCTAGCCCTACACATAATATTAGGATTCATTTTGACAAAATTATACAAGCATGGAATATAATTTGGTCTAATTCAGTACTTCCCCTTTTTCTTCCCTCTTTCTGTTTCTTACCTCTGCTTTACTGATTTTTCTCATATAAAATAAATAAATTCTTAGCTTGCAGATTTTTATCAAAAATTATTTTTAATGTTCTGTTTGAAGTTAAATGTTTAAAACAGATTTGCATCCTGCCCCCTTTTACTTAGCACTTTTTGAAGGAGTAGCCCTTTTAAAAGTACTAAATTGCTAATCTAGAAATCCTCTTTTCCCTAATTGAATGAACTTGAGAATTCACATTCCCTTTATAAACATGCAGCCCACAACCATCATTTGAAAAAAACTCATTAAGTCCTTCATATTGTGAATGTTTCTGTGGTTTATGTTAGATTATATAGGTTCAGTAGCCAGCTATATAAAAGAGAATGGTATATTCTTAGAAGAAATTATCTTTAAAAAATTTCTTCAGGAATAGCAAATACTAATCAATTATTTTTTTTCTATATTACAGGATCATCAAGCACATTGTGAGTTTGCTCTTATGAATTGTCCACAATGCCAGCGTGCATTTCAAAAATGCCAATTTAATATTCACATCCTTAAGGATTGTCCGAGGAGACAGGTTTCTTGTGTAAACTGTGCTGTATCCATGGCATTTGAAGACAAAGAGGCATGTACTAATTTGGATTTGTTAATTCCACTACTTCTTTTTTTCTTTTGTTTTGTTTTTAATAGCCAAAACCAGATTACCCATTTATTTGACCAAGAACATTAAAAAAGACCACAAAATTAAACAATCTTTAATTAATTAAATTCTTATAGAAAACTCAGTCACAGAGCAAGTACTTATTGTCTTCCCCCTGTTTTTGAGGATTGAGAACTCCCAATATTCTTTGGAGAATAAGCAATAATTTTGTTGAATGTTGCCAATAGTCAGAGCATCCATTTACACAAACCGGTAGTTCCTATTGCACATATTAACTCCACTACTTCTTAAAACAATTTTTTAAATGTATGTCTGAGGGAGGTAGCAATAGACTAGGTACGATTACAACTCAGTCTATTCTATCAATTTTTAGAAAATTGATTTTTAAGGAAGAAATGAAAGTTAGATAAATCATTATTAATATGTATGGAGTTTATATTTACATGTCTTTCTTAGAAAACATTATTTATGTTAGTTACTATAGTAGATCTGCAAGTGACAAGTCACTAGAAAAGGCTTATGCTACTTGACTGTTCATTTTTATGTATTTTGATGACCATTCTGATTGTATACAAGCAAGTAGAATGGCTACTATATAAGACTATATAAATTATTTTACAAAAGAAAAAGAAGTTATTCTACAACTATTATGAAGAATAAATTAAATTTCACAAGTGTGTTCCATAGCTGATAACCCAGTGTGCTATTATATTCACTTTCAGTATGTGTGTTATTTCAATTAAAAAGTTCACTTTTAAAAAGAAATTTCACTGTGCCTGACAACATCATGATAACAGGGCAGTTTTTTTTTTTTCTTTGAGAAACTAGGTTAAATAGTTTTATATTATGTTGTCAATATCAAAATCAACACTGAAATCCTAATTCTTGATCCCTATCCTTCATATTATTGAAATAACCTACTTATAACTTTTATGTTCTTTTATAACTAATACTTAGTTCTTTAAACTTCAGTTCTTATAAATTTGTGTTATAATTTTTCTTACTTCCCTTAGCAGATCAAATATATTATACTTAGTTGAAATATTCCCAAAAAAGTCAGCTAATTTGCTAAAAATGTAGAAGTCTCAGTCATATTTTGAGCAAATTGACATTTCCTTCCAAAACCTGAGTAAATTAGATGTAGTTAACCTGAAAGTTTTAATTATTCTTCAACACATCATCTAAATTAAAATCATTGTATTCTAGAAAACAAGGCTCACCCTTCTGAGGTACTAGAGCCTCATGCCCTGATAATGCATTTGTTCTTTAACGGCACTGACAAGAATTTTAATTAAATGGTCATGCTGCTGCTGAAAACTTGAAAGATTGCCTTTTATAGCATTGGTAGATGATATCCAACTAGTTATAGATAGTCTGCCTTGGGTTAAAAGGAAGTACTACCATATTCTTTGAAAGAGCTGGAATGATGAATGAATCTCATTATACTAGTAAAAGGAGATAAGTATCCTTTATATATGTTTTGCACATTTTTGCTTTATACAAATTAATGTCCTTAATTTGTGCATAGTGAAAAAAATCACTTTTTACAAAAATTTTTTCAAATTTTCTCATGCTTTTCTTGTATTTCTCTGATAACATTCAGATACATGACCAGAACTGTCCTTTGGCAAATGTCATCTGTGAATATTGCAATACCATGCTCATCAGAGAACAGGTATAATAATTCTATTTCATAAACTAGTATTTCCATAATAGCTTAAAGAAGTGTTATTTTTTTAATTGATAATTTAAATCAGTAAGGCAAAATCAATATGCATTGTAGAAGTATTAGAATTGTGCAGAAATTTTTCATTTTTCACATGAATTAATGTAATTGGGCCAGGCTTAGTGACAGAGTGCTTGCCTAGCATGCAAGTTGATGGATTCACTCCCTAGCACCACCCCCAAATTAATAAACACTTCCAAAAGAGTAAAACATTCAGTACTTCTAAAGTGCCAAAAATTCCTAGGTTGTTAACATAATAGCAAGGGTCCACATTTAAAGAAAGAAATGCATATATACACACTGAAATGAGGATCATAGTTATCCAGGGACTGGCTGAAAGAATGAGTGAGAATAATGAAACAAAAGAAAGCAAATCCTGTTTGGTAGCAGAACATTATTCATAACCCCTGAAGCATATAGGAAGATTTTTAAATTTTCAGAATTTACGGCCCCTCTGTTCAGTTGTTCATGAGGCCACTAATGGAGTATCATCAGATTGAGCAGTTACAATAGAAAAGTATATATTTTGATTATTAATAAAGAAAATTCCATCTGATTGCTATCTTCTGGCATTCAGAGAGTTTACCCACAAAATATTAATATTAGTCACTAAACATATTTGCCCATGAAATCTGCATACCCAGAGATCACTATTGATTAACTTACAAAGTAGAAGCAGGCAAGACCTTGATTAAATTTTTCCATTTGTCTGTTAATTGAGTCCCTTAGTTTCTTTTTAACAAAACTAGTTCAAAGGTGTTAAACTTCTTTTTGCTTTTGAAGTCCCACCTCCCTGGTTTTCCTCTTTGCTCTCTTTTAATATTGAAAGAAACCATGTAGCACATTTAAAACTCAGCAAAAATAAAATTAAAATGTAAGAAAATATTCTATAGTAGGAAGCATCAGAAAACCTAGGATTTGATCCTGGCTGTGTCATTAATTAGCCCTTTTATCTAAACTATAGCAAAAGTAAAATTTCTAAAGAAAATTTGACACTACTTTTAAAAATATTATTCTGTAATGGATCATGTTCTAAAGAATGTGTCTTTTGAGTCCCCAAATTTAAGACTTTCTTTAGAGCTTTTAACAGTGTGCTTTTACTTTCTAACATCTGAGTCCTAGAATATGCCCAGGTTAACAAAATGTAAGAAATGTATGAAAGGTGATCATGAGGGAATTAACTGGTCTAGTCAGTGACTTTAATGTGTGCAGTTCCTTGGTCCTTAGTATGGCCTAGACCACATAGAGTCTTGGTTGAGTTTGCAGTTGTAGTTGTCAGAAGGTGGTTTTTTCTTGGAAGTGCCACTAGAGGGTGCCAATTCCCAACAATAGGAATAAAATGCCTTTTATGAAGTGAATTTTAGTGAATTTGTAGGGTGTGTTGTATTATGAGATGTTGATATTTTATTTCTCTCTGACTTTTTGAAGTATTTTTGTTTTAATCTTTGTGGGCTACAGGGTTCTGTAATATTTTAACTCTTCCATTATGACCCAAAGGCAATACATAGTTTTGTTTAGGTGAAACAAATTTCTTTTTAAATGTAATCTCATTCAGCTAGAACATCCGCTGCAGGGAAAAACAGTTTTCAGCCTTTGTTTTGATTTTCAGATGCCTAATCATTATGATCTAGACTGTCCAACGGCCCCAATCCCATGTTCTTTCAGTACTTTCGGTTGCCATGAAAAGGTAAGTTTTCTTTTTCCTTTGAATTCTTAAATATAAATCAGAAATATTCAGTTATATAGTCTAGTGGACAGTCTCAACAGGAATGTACATGTTTATAAAACAGCATGATAAACTATATAATAAAGCTAAGTACTGATGCTGTGAACAGAAGCAAAAGCACACTTACCAATGCTTAAAGCATTTAGACAGACATGAAAAAAACGTGATGTTTGGGCTAAATCTTGACAGAATAAAAAAAAAAAATTGTTCAAGAAGACAAGAGAAACAAAAGTGAGTGTAGTGAACAGTACTAGAAATAGGTGAACCAGACAAGAAGAAAGTATTGTTATGGTCTCCCAGATTAGCTTTGAGACTACTGATCAGGAATATTGGATTTCTAACATACATAAATCACAGTTTATGAAAAGCCATTCTTTGGAGAGTGCAGTTATACTTTGGCTTTTCTGTATGTTTGTTTGTTTATTTATTTATTTATAATAAACATACATTTAATAATTGAAAAGATAAAGTAAAATGGTATTTGGTATGATTATATTTTGTGGAAAAGTTCTGTATTCATGTACATGAAGAAAAGGACTTGAAAATACATCAAAATATTAAGTTAGGGAGATATATATAACATTTTCTTTCTAATCTATATTTTCTATGGTATACACAGTTTCTCTTATAATAACAATTTTTGTATCATAAATGTTTTTCATACAACAGGATGTTTTTAATGATCTTAGAATAGTATGGAGACAGCAAAGATTCCAGTTGGCAGTAGATTAGTATTACAAATAAGGAATTGGGGACATTACAGTAGACTGCCATGATTAAATTTTAAAGGAAAGAGGAGAAAATGCTGTGAACTAGAAGAAGACATAAAATCAATAGCGAGGTTCATCTAGTTTTCCTAATGGGAAAGATTTTAATAATTATATTCTGAGGGAAGGGGTTAGAGGAAGAGAACATTTGGAGATAAAGGAGAAAAGGGATGACTTAGTAAAACCTCTGAGGTGTTAAAAAGGGCTGGGTGTCCATTAGAGCACAGGTGGAACATTCATCTTGGATAAGAGGAGAGTCATCTCTTGAGTCAGTAGAGGAGGGTAGGTATGGATACTGACATTTTTGTAGTTGGGATGAAGATTTAGCCAAGTGTGTTCATAGGTAATCTCAGTTTTTTAGTGCACTCAGAGCAGCGTTCATCTCATTAAGAATCTGGTGAAGGCAAAGGATCCTCTACTTCCCTCTACAACTTTGTAGAGGATGCAGGGAAATAGTGACACTATGTAAAAGCCTCTTATTTGTCTTGGCCAGGTCCTTTCCTAGTCTTTAACAGTGTCTGTTCCCATCTAAGGCTTGTGTTTGGTTTTTAGATGCAAAGGAATCACTTGGCTCGCCACCTGCAAGAGAATACCCAGTTACACATGAGAATGTTGGCCCAGGCTGTTCATAGTTTAAATCTTGCTTTCGATGCTGCCTCTCCATCCCAGATGCCTTCTGGGTATCGCCCAGAAATTGAAAATTTCCAGGAAATCATTCAACAGTTAGAGGGTCGCCTTGTAAGACAGGACCATCAAATCCGGGAGCTGACTGCTAAAATGGAAACTCAGAGTATGTATGTAAGCGATCTCAAACGGACTATTAGAACCCTTGAAGACAAAGTTGCTGAAATTGAAGCACAACAGTGCAATGGGATTTATATTTGGAAGATTGGTAACTTTGGGATGCACTTGAAATCGCAAGAGGAGGAGAAACCTGTGGTCATTCATAGTCCTGGATTCTACACAGGCAAACCTGGATATAAATTGTGTATGCGCCTGCATCTTCAATTACCAACTGCTCAGCGGTGTGCAAACTACATCTCACTCTTTGTCCACACAATGCAAGGAGAGTATGATAGCCACCTGCCTTGGCCCTTCCAAGGTACAATACGCCTTACGATTCTGGATCAGTCTGAAGCACCTATAAGGCAAAACCATGAAGAAATAATGGATGCCAAACCAGAGCTGCTTGCCTTCCAGCGGCCCACAATCGCCAGGAACCCGAAAGGTTTTGGCTATGTAACTTTTATGCACCTGGAAGCCCTAAGACAGAGAACCTTCATTAAGGATGATACGTTATTAGTGCGTTGTGAAGTCTCTACCCGCTTTGACATGGGTGGGCTTCGGAAGGAGGGTTTTCAGCCACGAAGTACAGATGCAGGGGTGTAGCATCCCCCTCATTTGTTTAAAACAACAAACTGTATGGAAAAAACAGTGCCTTCCCTTGCCTTGTTCTCAATAATATGCAAACAAAAACGCAGCAGGAAAGATGTAATACCCACCAGTGAATGTTGTTAGAGAGGTTGCTTCTCACTTTTTCCTGTTACAAATATCTGAGGCAGGTTTTTTTTAGGGATCTACACCTTCCATGCTTTTTCAGAAATGTTATATCTAAAGTGCCTGTGGCATGCAGCAGCTGTTTTGTCAATGAGTATACCTCTTTGTTGTACTTTCATGGGCATTTACTCCAGTGTCTTATTGTCACCGAGCCCAGAGTTGAATGTGGAAGCTCAAACCTTTTAATAATAATGAACTTTACTTTAAAACTTCAGCTTATTTTTATATTATTGTATATAACATATTAAATGTGAGAATCACTACTACCTTGTGCTAGTGCCAGTATGAAGAGTTGTTGCACTAGAGTGAAGTTCTCATTTTATTTGACCTCTTATAGATTTCAGAGGATTTGAAGCATAATCCCTGGAAAGCTTAAGTTCTCATGTTAACTAAGGATATTCAGGGACTGGTTTAACCCTGAATATAACCTTACTTTTTTAGTATAAACATTTCATCTGTTGAATAAAACCTGTTGAAGTGTTTAATTCTGCATTGCTTATATATTTCCTATGACCACAAAGTGGCAGCTTCTCCAGAGTTTATGCTGAGAACCATATGGATACCAACTGCTCAGCATTAAGCTGTGTACCTCTTTTAGTCTGTTTAGTGCAGAGTGAATGCAAAGCCCTGCACATGGCTTCTGTGGTTTATATACACAAAATCCCAGCATAAGTAAAAGTGATTCAATTAGTCAACCATTATGACAGTTCAGATTGGTGGTGATAGAAGCTGTATGAGCCAGAAATTTTCAGCCCTTTTCAGTACCCTCTGGTTTAGTTTAATTAAATGGAATGAAATTAACTTCCTACAAAAAAGCAACGTTTTTTTAAACGAGATCATAGGAGGTATGTGAATGGTCACTAAACCAAGGTTGGAAGTCATAATGGTAATATCACAAGTTAACTTAAGTCCAACAGCCCCCCTGCAGGTTCTGAGGGGGCATCCTATGGTATGTATTGAAGTGACTAATAGGGAGAGGTGATGTTTATACTATTATATATTTGTTATAAAATTATACGTATAAGAAGTGGAATCTAGTTCTCAGGGAACCCTAAAACTAGTATGAGTGCTTATAAAGAATCTAAGAAGATTCATCCACTCTTGTTTTATACAAGATTAAAGTTTCTGGTAAAGAGAGATGGTATTGGTCTCTAAGAGGTCAGATCAGAGGCCCCCCCCAGCCGGCATTCAAGATCTGCCTTAATTTCAAGAGGAAGCAGAATGCTTGTCTGTGGAGAGGAGTCTGGTTTTCAGTTCACAGAAAAACAGCAAGTGTCACTATGATCTTTCCCTTTGTTTTTATCAACCCTCTCTCCCCACTCCACCCCATCTTTGAGCTTTTGCTCTGTGGAGTTTGTTATGGAGTGAAAATAAAGGTCAAGTAAAGACCTTGTTTGGCATGATGTGAGTACCACAAGCTCATAGCTAGTGACCAGTTTATTGCCTAAGTGGTTTGTATCTCTTTCCAACCAGTTTCTGAGAATATTTGTAGCACCACCTCTAGGTTGAAAAACAAGTGCTACTGGTGTTCCTGTGATTGTTTTTCAGTGAATAAATAATTATCAAGTTCCATTTTAAAAGTAAGCAGCAATCATTTTTTGTATTTGCTTAGAAAAAACCTGAAAGAAGTAAACATTTTTGATGGCTTATTTTCTTTTTGCATTCTTAGATTTTTTTTTTTTACATTTTCTAAATGAATGTACTTTTATCAGAGAAGAAAATTAAGTTGCCACAAAGCATCACACCCCCCCGCCCCACCGCTTTTAAAAAAGGAAATGATATTTAAAAGCTTCCTGGTCAAATTTCTATTAAAAGCAAGTCTGTGCATTAAATACTAAGAAGAGTCATTTCCTGCTTGGTTATGGGTTTGTTTGTTTTTTTTTTTCCCCCCTCAGGAGTCTTAAAAACAGTTTTTTGCTAACTTAAACTTTTCTTAGCTTCAAGTTTCCCATCTATAAAATTAGTTGAACTAGATACTTCTAAGGTCCTCTCCCCAATCATAAAATTCTGTCTTTAAGAAATTAAGTTCTAAACAACAGAATATTGATAATACTTAAGTAAGGATTATACCAGTAGAAAATTGCTTTAATTTTTTTCTTTGCTGCGATTAATATTGTATTTCAATTTAGTGTCTGTCAATTAAGTCATATCTTAATTAAAATGAACATTGTGGCATTTTATATCAAACCAGTTAACTTATGCTAGTAATTCATTGTAAATGTAGAGTAGAAATAATCATCAATTTGTCATTCAACTAGAAATCTCAAGTCTCAACTCAGAATCAAATCAATGACAGCTTTTACCTAAAAAACTGGGTTCAGGGGCTGGGGTTGTGGCTCAGTGGTACAGCATTTGCCTAGCATGTGTGAGGCACTGGGTTCAATTCGAAGCACCACATATGAATAAATAAAATAAAGGTCCATTGACAACTAAAATAATATTTTAAAAAACTGGGTTCATCTTTATAATCTATGAATCTCCTACCCCACTCAAACACTGGTTTCATCCAGTTGGTCTATAAGCATTGGGGCTGTGCATTTATATTTTTGTGAATTGTCTTTTAACATATTCATTTTTTGGCATTATTCTGAGTCATTGCTAAATTTTTTTTTAAAGTCATTTCCTCTTTGTTCAGAGATGTCCAGCCCAATGTTGGATGAAATTAGCTCCAAGTCAAACATTTTACTATTAGAAAATAAGTCTGGATGCTGACTGATAGTTTAGTAGTTTATTACTATCCTTTGGCTATTGTAGCAATGACAGCTTCTGGCTCTCCTACAATATGCTTCAACTTTTATTTGGGGGATGAATAATAGAAGAAAGTGAAATAGTAGTTTTTACTCGAATGTTGGACAAGTAGATATATATTGGATGATCTCTAGCAATTAATTTTTTGTGACTAGTATAATACTATGTTTTCCATTACTGTTTTTTTACCAGTAAGTTTCAGGTAAACTAAGATCATTCCCATGAATTATGAATGCAGTTAAAATTCTTAGAGCAGAGCAAATGCTTGCCATTCTTTTATCCAAGGAGTTGACCAAAAAACGTTTTTAATTATTTGAGAGATTTTTCTAACTTAAGATTTTGAAGTACTTTTCTTTGACTTGGTTACTAATATAGCTCTTTACCTCAACAAAATTCTCCTAATTATACCATCAGGTATGTTTTGGATTTGAGCGCGCGCGCACACACACACACCTAGTTCCCTAAAAGCCTTAAAGAAATGAAAAAAGGAACAACAAATACTCATTTCCTTTGAAATATTCTTTTTAAATTTCTAGGTTTAGATTCCCATGATAAGCTACAGTTAGTTTCACAGTTGCTATCATGTCTGTAGAATGGGTTGGCATTTCCAGATTCCTAATATTCAGAAAGGTGATCATTTGAAACCAAACTGACTAGATGTCAACAGGTTCTAACACTCTTTTACAGCCTTCACTTTGAGTCAAGGACAGACACTTGCAAGGAGATGTCTAGTTTCACAAAATTTCACCTGTTTCTTTATGTTTTAAAGCTTCACTTGCTGAAAATCAGATTATTATAAAATAAAACTGAAAAATAATTCTTGATGGGGAAGATGTTCTGTGGAATGAGATGTGGTGCTCCTTTTCCCATCAAAATGCTTTCTCAACAGGACACTAGGCCTGCCTCTTAAGACAGAGAAGGAGGTCAGGCATGCTTCTCTGCTCTGGAGATTTGCAGCTCTGCAAGTAGTTCAGTCCTCCCAGGAAAATCACCAAAGCAGCAGTAACCACAGTTCGCTGTCCTGGTACCCAGAAGAAGGTAAAGTATATATATATGGGACATGGACACTGTTCTGGTCAGTGCTGAGTCCCCTGTACTTAGCACAGTGCCTGGCACTTAACACACACTCAAATATGTAATAGCATTCAGTGAAAGCAAGGGTGGAAGATCAGATAACCAGTTTGGTAGCCTGTTTGTCATGAAAGCAGTAGGTGGTAAGGCACAGATGTTACTTTTTCAGTTTTTTCCTCCCAGTACTCGATTATGAAATTTTTTAAACATGCAGAAATGTTTAAAACTTAGTGAACATCCACCACCTAGACTCTACAATGACATTTTGTTGCATTTGCTTTATCATTTAATAAACATTGCTTTTAATGAGACTTCAAGTTTGGTTTCTCTTAAAAATTCTCCGTCCTAAAATAACTGAACAACTTTAATCAAGTTAAATTCTTTGGGAAAACTTGTGATATGTGTGTTGTAACTGGAATTGTAGTCCTTACTTTAAGCTAATTTTATACTTCTGTATGACTATTATGCTGAATTTTAATTTTATTTATTTGGCCTGAAGGGGTATTTGTGCATACTATTCTAATGTTCTTTTCACACTTGATAAATTATCCAATTAATTTCTCTGGTGAGAATGTACTTTGGGGTCCATTTGCTTATACAAATTTCCAGGATTATGTTCCTGGGGAGCTGTAGGGGCTGTGTAATTTATCATATAAACCCTAATTTAGGAGCTAAGAGACACTTTCTCCTGACTGAGCATGGACAAATCAGTTTTCTTTGTTTTTATTATGGTTTATTTACCTATAAAGTGAGAACTTGAACTTGAAATTTAGGTATTATGTAATGGGTAACATTTATTAATGTTGAAATCAGTTTTTAAGGAGACTTCATATGAGTACAGGAAAGCTTCTAACAATTCTGTAACTGTATAACAAACTACAAAATGAATCTGACTTTTGAAAAAATTGGAACATCCAGTGGTCAAAGTGTCTTATCTGAAAGCCTTCCGTTGTTTAGAAATTATCTTCCCATGAAATATGTGAGTTTCCTAATCCATTTGGCCTTGGAAAACATGTGCTTTACAGGAGGGAGTGAATGTAAAGATGGGGATGCTGATAGTAATCACAGAAAAACTGAAATTCAGTGTTCAATTTAAGAATAGCTTGTTTTGAAGGAACAGAGGAAGAGAATTATCCATATTCAATGCAACACCCACCCCTGTACTGCCCCTGACTTTACCAGGAATGGCACCTGAAACAAGCCCTATTCCTGCCCCCAGCTTTGCCTCAGATGTCTTCCTCCGGTCAGTATGGTTGAATTGGTAAGAGTGACTGGTTCCCTCCAAACCCATGTCATGAAGGTAGATTCACATTTATCTCACAAAGGCACCTAGAGTTTTGACTTTAGATTGTGTCTTAGTATTTGCAAAGATATGATCTAACCAATGTTCCTGGAATATCACCTTATTGAATATGAATTTAGAAGAAAACAAATAACCTACTCCTTCTTCTCTGTTGTTATTCCCATACCAGCCTGTATATTGCACCAATACCTTTTTTTAAATTTTTTTGATATTTTGATTTTTTTAATATCTTTATTTTATTTATTTATTTTTATGTGATGCTGAGGATAGCGCCTCACACATGCTAGGCGAGTGCTCTACCAATCAATCCCAGACCCAATACCTTTTTGAAAAGTACTTTTAATGAAAATGAAATATAGAGCTGGGATTGTGTCTCAGTGGTACTACAACACTTGCCTAGTATGTGTGAGACACCACTTTCTATCCCCAGCACCACATAATAATGAATAAAGTAAATGTATTGTGTCCATCTACAACCAAAAAAGTAATAAAATTTTAAAATGAATTATATATTAAAATAGAAGCAATATTCCAGGTGGTTTTTAATAACTATCAATTTTTGCTTTAGTATTGTTTTGTTTGGGAATTGCAATTCACTCTGTTGGGAAGAAAGAATAATGCCAGGCAGGGGTTTTCAATCAAAATAAAAAAATAAAACTAGTATTTTCTTTCTTCAAGAAATGGTAAATGAGGACTCATTCTATATACAGGATGCCAGGACATAATGGATTACTATTACATTTTATGAAACACATTTAGGCCCAATGAGAGAGAAACTTCTATAATCCCTTTAAGTCCAATGGAAAAAAAAAAAAAAAACAGGTAAATAAAATGTGAAACCAGATAACAGCATGAAATCTTTCTCAAAAAATAAAGCAAAGCCTCTGTTTTCCCCAGTTCCGTAGCTGTGGTATCCCTGCCCTCTCCTTAGCAAATGCCCCAAATGGAATTTTAAATAAAGTTGCCCCCATTGAACTGGAGTTTTGAAATGAAATCAGATTCCCCGCTTCTCCAATTTCCTTCTGGGTTCTTTTTTTTTTTTTTTTTAATTTTTTCCTTCTGGTTTCTTGTCACACAGATTTGAATAATAGAAGTCACAGACAATAATGGAAGGCAAGAGTAAAGAGAGTAGGATTCATGTAATTGAGAAGAGAATAGGTAGAACTCCCTCAATGCTGGGGGGACCTGATAACAGGAAAACCACTCTGGTATACTACTGTAAGGGCTTAAATAGTTTTGGGTATGAGCATTGACCAAAACCTGTTAAACAGGCATTGAAAATGTATCAAGCGTTGGCTGTATTCTTTGGTTTTTGAGTTTTAACCCTTCCAGTAACTCCCATCCAGGTTCACCTCCACCTTCCTTTTTCCTGCCACTTTGGGACAAAGGAGTTGGCTAAAATATTCCCATCCATAAGCCTCATGGTCTTTACACTTGAAAAAAGGTGTTGAGGGGGCCCATTGATGTGTCTACTAGTAAGTCTCATGGTGTGGGCCCTACATATGAACAACACCTTAACGGGTATGCTACCCTGACTGCCTGATCATTGATTATTCTTACCATTGAGGAGCTATTAAAAGCATTTAGAAAACTTTTATGGGTTAACCCAAGTCTCCTTTTTTTTTAAGCTTTTTGCATATATCATTTCATTTTTTTCCACTTTTTAAAATATATGTACAAAATGGTGGGATTTATTATTACAAATGCATACATGCACCTGTTCAGCTCCTTTCCCCATTTATTGATCGGGTTGTTTGGTATTTTGTGAGTTCTTTGTATACCCTGGAGAGGTTAGAGGCCAAACTCATTCTCTTTCTTCCTCCCCATCCCGGCCCCCTACACACACACTAACACTGCCAAGGAACCTTTAGGACCCTATGCTTGGGGGCCTTGCTCCTGTTCCATGCATTCTGGCTGGGCTCTAGTCAGTCCTGCCCCTGTGGCCAAGTGTCTTCTCAGGACCTGGTCCTGTGATTCCTGTTGCTCTCTCCTCCCTTCACCTGGAGGTAACCTCATGGTTTAGTGAAAGGAAAACCCCCATCTATTCTCCAAGACTGAGGACATTTCTCCCTTCTCTAGATTTTTCTAAGAACTTAAACTTTAGGAAAACAAAATCCAGATTTACAAGCTCCTTTGTTTTTGTTTGTTTGGCCACATACCTCCCCTGAAGCAATGAGGTAGGGAGGGTCTTACCAGTTTTGATGGAGCAGCTGGGAGAAGGAGGATGGGGAATGTGTTATATCTCAAAAATTACAACATTGAACATCTCCTTAATTAGACTGTGTGCTCCCAAGGAAAGATGATACTCTTAGATGGAAACCAGAGATATCTAATTTGACTTCAGTCCTTATGAAAGGATAATTTTTTTTAAAAAAAAAAGCAATATCTTGGCTCATATAGATATCAAATGAGTATGCGTTGAAGATTTTATTTAACTTTTAATGAGGGAACCAAGCAGATGTTATAACCAGTTCAAAGGAGAAACCAAAAAACAGACACATTTATGGACCAGAAATATTGAAAGAAATATGCAAATGAAGGAAAAACTAGCTTCTTCCTCAGTGGAGGAGGGAAGTCAAGAGAGTAGGACATAATTTGCATTTCTTGAAATAACAATTATTTAGCATTATTACTATCAGTTATCTACAGGACTGTTATAAATTTCATTACAATCAGAACCAGATAAACCCAAAAGGTCTGCACTAGTCAATGTCCAATAATGCATATAGTTTTCCCCACAGGCTGTACTAAAGATAATTCAGTTGGGGTCCATGTTTCAGCTTAGAATTGAACTCCTCAGTTACTGTGAGAAAATACCTTCTTAGAGCTCTACAAAACTCCAGATAAGGAAACAGAGCAAAACTAGTTTAAAAACCATGTGGCAGTAGGTGGCAGCAAAACTCTATGCCTAAAGAATGCAGCCTTCAAAGAAATTTGTGAAATAGAGTTAACCTCAAGTCCCTGGGCTTTCAGGAATCCATAAATCCCCTGATGAATGTATGCAGAAAGTTGTCCTGGATTCATTTTTCTGGGAATCCAGTCTTTTTTTTTTCTTTAAATCTGAAAAAAAGCTACAAAGAACTTCCCTCCAGTGATGGAAATCCCTCATCCCAATAATTGTATCCACAAATTGGTTGGCAAATCAGCTCAAGTTAGAAACACCTGAGGAGTTATTAGAGCAAAGGATGCAAAACCGGCATTCTTGTAAGGTCAATAAAGAGTTGAGTATTAGGCAACCTATTATGGTTCAACCTGTGTGCACAGGTGCGTGGTTGCCCCCACCCCATTCCCATAGAACTGATAGATGCATGAACATCTGAGATCAGCTGGCTTGTCAAGTTGAAGTTTAGGAGAATGAACTCTTGGATTCCAGACTCTATCCCAAGGCCTGTCCACCCTGGACAGTGAGAACCAATATGGCATTGGGGTCCTCACTAGCACCCAGTGCCCTAGGGGGCTTTTTCAAGATATGACCAGCCTTAGGATCTCCTAATGTGCTTATTCAGACACATGCAATCAGGCTTCACCCCTCTCACTCTCTGAATTAGACTCTCAGGGCCACTTGAGGAACCTGCATTGGAGGGAGGCTCCCACACTCTTCTGAGCCTAAAGAGTAAGTAGTCACCGCAGATGGGAGAGAAAGCACGAGCTGAGATGTATCACCTATCAAAATGCACTTGTTAAAGTGTTGAAATTGTGACTCTGATTAAAATGTACAATTGTCACACGTCAAAGATTTTGTTCCGCTCATTAATTTGAACCATTATGTGGGTGCTGCCGACTCCAGGAACGCTTGAGAAATCTACCAGGAGAAGCATTTTCAGAAAAAAAAAAAAGAACATGAGAATAAGATCATGAGGTTACAAAATTAAGCTGTTTAATACACTTCAGGCTAATTATACCCTAACCTTTGGAATATCTTTTCTAACCAGATAGATTAACACATAACTTCACAGTTCTAAAGTAATCAATTGCCAAGTCATAAACAGATACATTCTTATAGAAAAT